ATAACAATAATGACATTAACAATAACAATAATAATATTAATAATAATAATAATGTGATTACCAATAATAATAATGATAGTAACAATAACAATAACAGCAATAATAACTGTAAAATATACAATAACAATAATAATAACAATATAAATTGTAACATCAATAGCAACATTCAAAATAATAACAATTACAGTAATAATAATAATAACAATAACAATTATAATAACAAAAACCATAATAATGAAAATAACAGTAACAATAAGAATAAAAATAACAATAACAATAACAACAATAGTAATAATAACAATGACAATAATAATAATAACAGTAACATTAAGAATAATTATAACATAAACAATAATAATAATAACAATGTAAATAATAATAAGAGGAACAATAACAGAAATAATAATAACGACAATAACAATAATATTAACAATAACAATAACAATAACAATAATAATAATAACACCAGTAACAATAATAATAATAATGACAATAAAAACAATAATAACAATAACAATAACAATTATAGTAATAATAATAATATTAATAATAATAATAATAATAATAATAATAATAATAATTATAATGACATTAACAACAATAATAATGATAGTAACAATAAGGAAAACAATAATATTAACAGTTATATTTACAATAACAATAATAATAACAATAACTATAGTAAGAACAATAACTATAACAATAATAATAACAATAACAATAACAATAATAATTATAGTAGCATTAGCAATATTCATAACTATGACAATAACAATAGTAATTATAATAACAGTGACAATATTAGTAGTAATAACAATAACATTAATAATAATAATAATAATAATAACAATAAAAACAATAATAAAAATAACAATATTTCTAATAATATCATTAACAATAATAATAATAATAATAACAATAATAATAATAATAATAACAAGAATAATAATATTAATAACAATAATAATAATAATAACAATAACAAAACTTATAACAAAGAAATAAAAATAATAGTAGCAATAACAATAACAATAATAATAACAGTAATAATAACAAGAACTATAATAGTAGCAATATGAATAATGATAAAAAGAGCAGTAATCATAATAATAATTTACAATAATTTTTTTTTTTATGGTCTGAGAATGCCAAACTTTATGCACTAATCCAGGGACCCTGCCCACCAGAAGGACCGTTTAGCATATGCGTCCCCCTTAGGGTCCATGGAGTGTCGGGCTCACCGTTGGAACAGACACGACCGACTAAACTCATATCCATCCTAGTGACATAGTAAAACCATCACGTCACGGCCATGTGGCATTACTTCAGGATGGCGCTACTTCTTCTTGCCCCTTAATTGGACTACCTCTTCGGCTCTACGTGGCAGGAAGCAGGAGCAACGTTGGTGGCTCTTCTATGGGCCACCCATCTCCTTCTTCTACTTGCTTAAGATTGACCTGACGTACCAGGCCAACTTGTTCCACTCCTTCTGCCCACGCAGCATTTTCTCGACGATGTTGTCCGGCGAGATGTCTCCAAGGTCTTGTTCCATTGCTAGTCGTTCGGTGTCCCACCGAGTACATAAAAAAAATGTGTGGTGGGCGTCGTCGTTGATCGATTCCTCATAGGGGCAGCTGGCGTCTGCTACCTTCCTCATTCTAACCAGGTAGGAACGGAACAGGAACATGCCCTGTCAGGAATTGGGTGAGGTAGAAACCAACTTCTCTCGCCTCCCGATTTATCCAGCTGTCTAGCCGACTGATGAGTCGAACCGTCCATATGCCCCGATGCTCCTGATCCCATCTGTTGTGCCAGGTGTCGAAGCTGGAAGACCTGGCGAGCCTTGATGTCCTCTCCTTTCCCAGGACACACTTTTGCTGGTAGACAAATTTCCTCTCCTGGGCTAATAGATCGATCGTGATAAACCCGGCGACAACTAGCACTGCCGGCTCTGAGATGGTGCGGTAAGAGCACGCGATTCGGAGGGCACCCCTCCGCTGTACCGCTGCTATGCGCTTGCGGTATTTCTGTTTTCGCACCGCCTCGGCCCATACTTCCTGAGCGTACAGCACTACTGCTTCGGCAGCACGCATCAGTAGTCTCCTTATGCACAGCCGGGGACCATTGACATTGGCCATGAGCATGCCCAGTGAGGCTACTACTTTTGCTGACTGGTCGGCAGCCCTCATAATACGCTCTCCATAGTTAAGCTTGTTGTCAAGCATAACCCCGAGATATTTGACAGCCGACTTAGTCTGGACCGCCGCGTCTCTTACAATGAAGCTGCGCAAGGTGTTGATGCGCTTCCTCGTAATTAGCACGATCTCTGTCTTCTGGGCTGCTAGAGATAGCCCATGATCTTCCATCCAGGAGATAACTTTCCGCATGACCTGGATGAGCAGCAACTGTGCGCCTCCGTGTCTCTTGCGGTTATGAGAACTGCAATGTCATCTGCGTACCCAACCAAGAAAGTACCTTCTGGGACTGCCATACGAAAGGTACCGTCGTAGAATATATTCCATTTATCCGGTCCCAGTATGGAGCCCTGGGCTGCCCCCGATGTCAATTCCAAGCTTCTTGGACTTCGTGTTGTATACTAGGAAGCGCTAGTTTAGATAATCGTCAACAATTCGGAGTAGGTACTTGGGAACGACGAACTTACGTTCGAGCGCTTCCCATGCCAGGTCCAACATGACTGAGTTGGAGGCATTTCTCACATTTAAGGTGTCGAGCAGGCACGATGGTCTAGTTCAATGATTGCCTTGCTCCATCATTTTAGCGGCCGTGACCATCTCCTGGACTGCGTGGATGGTGGGGAGGCCGGATCGAAGACCATACAGGCGGGAGGCAAGAACCCCCGCAGTCTTAACGGCTGCGTGCAGCCTTGGCTATAGCAGCTTCTCCAGGAGATTTTCAGCCGTATCGAGCATACAACTAGGCCTGTATGATGAAGCTGCCCCTACTGGACCCTTGCCCTAGCTACTGAGCACAAGCCTCGCTTTCTTCCATGGAGCGGGGAAGATGCACCCACTGAGGCACGTGCTAAACATGTTCAGCAAGAGCTCAGGATGACTTTGCGCGACGACTTTGATTATTTCTGCTGGAAGTCCGTCTGGACCTGGAGCTTTCTTGCTCCGCATAGAAGATACGAACCTGAGAAGCTCTTCTTCCGTGAATTGCGGTACCTCGATTATGCAGGGCGCATCCAAGCTGATCTCTCTCTTCGGCTGTGAGGGAAATAGAGTATGCACGATGTGATCCAACGTCCTCGCGTCCTGAGGGGACACTTGCGTGTTGGTCCCCAGCTTGCGTGTGACGATGAAGTACCCTAATCCCCACGGATTCTGGACGACATCCAGGCACAGCTCCTTCCAGCACCGTCGTAGCCTGGCCTTGATGGTCCTCTTCAGGACTTTCTTGGCCGCTTGATAGTCTGCAGCCAAAGAGCAGCGTCGTGGTCGCGTCTCTTCGCTCGTTGTGCTAAACGGCGTAGCCTTAAGCACTTTCTGCGAAGATCTGCAATCTCGTTCGTCCACTAGTATACTGGGCGTCTCTGCAGATTCGTGCCATTCTTTGGCACCGCTATCGCGCAAGCCTTTTGGATGAGCTGCATGTTTGCTGCGCTAATCAACCTCGCTTGTGCGAATAGCGATAGACTCGCGGAAGTATTTTGTTGGGATCTCCATCCTTCCTCTATGACCGAAGACAGACTCTCTCGATCCATTTTTGCAATGCTCCACCGCGGGGGTCACTCAACACTTGTCACGGCTGGCCTTCAATCATGTACATCGAATGGAATGTACTGATGATCGCCCCCGGTATAATCCTCGATCACCTGCCAGCATGCGACTCTTGCCACATGGTGTTCGTTGGCTAGAGAGACATCCGGGATTGTCTCTCTATAGCCAGACCTGCGGAAGGATGACGTCGATCCTTTGTTGAGTACTGATAGCTCCAGTCTCGACGCCACCTCCAACGTTCGTCTTCCTTTGGAGTTAGGCCTGGCCTCCCCCCATTCCAAAGCTTTGGAATTGAGGTCTCCAGCCACAATAAAATCCCCTTGCATTTACCGCAGCGCGTCTTCCGGTTCGTCCAGTTTGGTATGGAAGTCGTCTATCCGGTCGTTCGGGGTGAGATATACGCTGACATATGTCATCAAGTTATGTCTCACCCAAACGTAGCCGCGTCCGGATCCTTGGTACGACACATGTATTAGTATGTGATCTGGGATCCAGATTGCCACGGTGCCCAATTCGTCTGCGTACCATCCTACTCCTACTCTGTCCTGGTACTGTTCACTGATTAGAACAATATCGGCATTTTTCTCAGAGCAGTGTTGGGTTAGAAGGTGATGCGCCGTCCAGCTCCAATTCAGATTACCCTATCTTACTCTCATCCTTTTTTCCTCTTTTTGATTGTTGCGAGGGCCTCCTGGAAAGCTTTGCAGGCCCTTGATCCTGCCAGGTTCTTCCATGTTTCAGCAACGCCATTTGTGCACAAGAAGCACGTATGCTCGCTCACCTTGCACTCTTTGATCTTGTGCCACAAAGATCTTTGTAATTGGATTAATCAATCCACGCAGTTCAGGAGGTGGTCACGGCCGCTAAAATAATGGAGCGAGGCATTCATTGAACTCGACTTTTGTGCCTGCTGGCCACCTCAGATGTGAGAAATGCCTTCAACTCCGTCAGGTGGGACCTGGCAAGGGAAGCGCTCGAACGTAAGTTCGGCGTTCCGAAGTACCTACTCCGAATTATTGACGATTATCTAAACGAGTGCTTCCTAATATACAACACGAGTGATGGTCCAAGAAGCTTGGAATTGACATCGGGGGCAGCCCAGGGCTCCATACTGGGACCGGATAAATGGAATATATTCTACGACGGAACCTTTCGTATGGCAGTCCCAGAAGGTACATTCTTGGTTGGGTACGCAGATAACATTGCAGTTCTCATAACCGCAAGAGACACGGAGGCGCACAGTTGCTGCTCATCCAGGTCATGCGGAAAGTTATCTCCTGGATGGAAGATCATAGGCTATCTCTAGCAGCCCAGAAGACAGAGATCGAGCTAATTACGAGGAAGCGCATCAACACCTTGCGCAGCTTCATTGTAGGAGACGCTGCGGTCCAGACTAAGTCGGCTGTCAAATATCTCGGTGATATGCTTGACAACAAGCTTAACTATGGAGAGCGTATTATGAGGGCTGCCGACAAGTCGGCAAAAGTAGTAGCCTCACTGGGCATGCACATGGGCAATGTCAATGGTCCCCGGCCGTGTAGGAAGAGACTACTGTTGCGTGCCGCCGAAGCTGTGATGCTGTACGGTGCGGAAGTATGGGCCGAGGCGCTGCGAAAACAGAAATACCGAAAGCTCATAGCCGCGGTACAGCGGAGGGGCGCCCTCCGAATCGAGTGCTCTTACCGCACGGACTCAGAGCCGTCAGTGCTAGTTGTCGCCGGGGTAATCCCGATCGATCTATTAGCCCAGAAGAGGATATTCATCTACCAGCAAAGGTGTGTCCTGGGAATGGAGAGGGCATCAAGGCTCGCCAGGTCTATCAGCATCAAGACCTGGTAAAATAGATGGGAGCAGGAACGTAGGGACTACTCGACTTATCAGTCAGCTAGACAACTGGATTAATCGTGAGGCAGGAGAAGTTCATTTCTACCTCACACAATTCTTGACAGGGCATGGCCTGTTCCGCTCCTACCTGGCTAGAATGAGGTGAGTGGCAGACGCCAACTGCCCCTATGAGGATTCGACCATAGACGACGCCCACCACACATCTTTTTTATGTACTCGGTGGAGCGCCGCACGACTAGCCTTAGAACAAGACCTTGGCGACATCTCGCCGGACAACGTCGTCGAGAAAATGCTGCGTGGGCAGAAGGAGTGGAACAAGGTGGCCTGGTTCGTCAGGTCAATCTTAAGCAAGAAGATGAAGGAGATGGGTGGCCCATAGAAGATCCACCAACGATACTCCTGGTTCCTGCCACGTAGAGCCGAAGAGGGAATCCAGGTAGTGGACAAAAAGCAGTGGTTCTATCCTGAAGTAATGCCACATGTCGTTGCCGGGATGGTTTTACTATGCCACCAGGATGGATATGAGTTTAATCGGTTGTGCCCATTCCAAAGGTGAGCCCGACACTCTAGGGATCTCAATGGGGGAACCAAATAATGAAGGGCTCCTCTGGCGGGAGGAATCCCTGGGTTAGTGTGTAAAGACTGGCATTCTCAGACCATCAAAAAAGAAATTACTAATATTTTAATTGTTATTGTTATAATTACTGTTATTCGTCTTATTATTATTATTGCTATTGTTATTAATATTTGTTATTGTTATTACTATTGTTACTGTTATTATTATTATTATTGTTCTGGATATTACTATTGTTATTGTTATTGTTATAATTATAGTTATTATTATTATTATTATTGTTATTGTTATTATTATTGTTATTATTATTATTAGTATTATTATTATTATTAATATTGTTATTGTTATTATTATTATCTTTCTTTTTCTTATTATTACTACAATTGCTATTATTATTATTATTGTTGTTGTAATTATTATAATTTTTGTTATAGTTATTATCATTTGTATTATTATTATTATTATTGTTGTGGTTATTAATACTATTATCACTATTGTTATTGCAATTATTATTAATATTGTTATTATAATTATTATTGTTATTTTTATTATTTCTCTGACTGTTATTACTATTGCTATTATTATTATTATTATTATTGTTATTGTTATTGTTATTATTATCATTACTGATATTTTTATTGATATTTATATTATTATTATTATTATAATTGTTATTATTATTATTATTGTTATTGTTATATTTATTATTACTGTTATTAATATCAATATTATTATTGTTTTGTTATTTTTATTAATATTATTATTGTTAGTATTATTATAGTTATTGTTATTATTATAATAATTGTCCTTGTCATTATTATTGTTATTGTTATTATTATTATTATTATTGTTGTTATTATTATTATTGTTATTGTTATTATTATTATTATTGTTATTATATTTATTATTGTTATTGTTATCATTATGATTATTTTTATATTTATTATTATTATTATTGTTATTGTTATGATTATTGTTATTGTTATTTTCATTACCATAATTATTATTATTGCTGTTGTTGTTATTAATATTGTTATTGTTATTGTTATAATTATTTATATTGATATTTTTGTTACTATTGTCATTGTCATTAATATGATTATTTTCCTCGCTACTGTTATTATTATTATTTTTGTTAACTATATTATTATTATTATTGTTATTGTTATTATTATAATTATTGTTATTGTTATTATTATTTTTATTGTTATTGTTATTATTATGATTATTGCTATCGAATATTTATTGTTGTTGTTATTATTGTTATTGATGTTATTATTATTATTGTTATTGTCACTATTATGATTATTGTTATAATTATGATTATTGTAATTGTTATTATTGTTATTGATATTGTTATTGTTAATATTAATGTTTTTGTTATTGTTATACTTATTGTTATTTTTATAGTAATTATTATTATTATTATTATATTTTTGTTATTATTATTATTTTTATTGTTATTGCAATTATGTTTGTTATTGTCATTTATATTATTATTATAATTATTATTGTTATCATTGTTAGTTAGGTTATTGTTATTATTATTGTTTTTGTTATTATTATTGTTATTGCTATTGTTATTATTATTATACTTGATATTGTTATTATTATTATTATTACTATTGTTATTATTATCATTATTATTATTATTGTTATTATTATTATTTTTGCCATTGTTATTATTACTATTATTATTATTATTATTATTATTTCTATTATGATTATTATTATTTTTGTTATTATTATTATTTTTGTTATTGTTAGTAATATTATTATAATTTTTATTATTATTATTATTGTTATTGTTATTATTGTTATTATTATTATTATTATTATTATTATTATTATTGTTATTATTATTATTGTTATTATTATTATTATTATTATTATTATTATTATTGTTATTATTATTATTAGTATTATTATTATTATTGTTATTATTATTATTGTTATTATTATTATTATTAAAATTGTAATTGTCATTGTCATTATTATTAGTTTGTTATTCGTATTATTAATATATTTGTCATTATTATTATTTTTGTTATTCGTATTATTAATATAGATCTCATTATTATTATTATTATTCTTGGTATTGTTATAGTTATTATTATTTTTATTTTTATTTTTATTATTATTGTTATTGTTACTGCTATCATTATGATTACGACTGATTTTTTTTTACTATTATTGTTATTTATATTATTATTATTATTGTTATTTTATTACTATTGTTATTGTTATTATTATTATTATATATTATATTTATTGTCATTATTATTATTATTGTTATTGGTACTATTATTGTTATA